GAAGTACAGTCAATTCATCGATATGCTTAATGTTTGTCAACTAAGTCTCATCGACTCGTCTTCTCATATTCTTTGGAAAACTATCAGTTTGTGGGCAATTCTAATATTTAAGAGAGAGAACAGGTGGAAAAGGCAAAGGTATGATCCCGCTCTGCTTCAGCCTCTGTCTGAGTGTCTCAAAAACCAAACAATAAGATTTTAAAATCAGTTCTGTACTGCAGAGGAAAAAAGTTGAAGAGAGGCTTCCAGTACAGGTCAAGTCTATTACTAACGATTACATCAGTCTAGGCTACACGAAATGAAGGGAAACTTTCTGCTTTGCATATTCACCAAGTTTCTGGGGAGAAAGTTGAAGTTCAGTTCTTTTGCAGCCAAGCAGCTAGGAGTACAGATGGGTATCATTAAGATTTTAACGTACCACTACTCTTATCAATACCCACTTATTGATCTGGTATTTTAACGGTACTCTTATCGGTACTTTTTGTCATTTTATAATAAAAAAAAAAGAAATTAAGAACAGAATTCACTTTGCTTATTTTCTCATATATGCACTGGATTAAACCCCCACCCCCCCACCCCCACCCCCAGTGCCCTAAAACTGAGTGTCTGAATGACAGTTCAGACTACGCATATGAATATGAATATATATATATGAATTTAAAAAACACACCCGTAACTATCAGCTGGCTAATGTTTACTTTTCATCAATTAACCGATGTTCGTATAATGTAGTTAATCTTGTGTGTGTGTGTGTGTGTGTGTGTGTGCGTGTGTGGGCTCCAGGCTAAACACACCTGACACAGCAATGTGTCAACTACTCACTTCTCCGTCTGTATGTGACGGACTTTCTCTGGATGTTTCCACTGGTCGCTCGTGTTTCTGCTCTTACAAGAAAAAGACTGAACTATACTTAAACGTTTAGCCCTCTCTGCCATAGACACTCAGCGCAGAGAGTGTGTGTGTGTGTGTGTGTGTGTGTGCGCTGCACAGTGCTCCATGGTGACACAGAGTTGCCCCCGCCCCTAACACACAGAGAGAGGTCTGTCCTCTGGATTAGGAACAGTGAAAATGCTTCATTCATAGATTAATGTCTTAATCAGAAATGGAGTTGGTGAGATGAAATGTTTCACAGTGTGCTCTTGTGGGTTTTGTGGAGTCAGATACAGAGGCTCAGAGCTCCTACCTGAGGCTGCGGGACCGCGGTCTCATGGCGGGGGAGCGGCGTCCCTCCTCGTCCGTGATGCTCTCGGAGCTGAAGTGTTTGGTGAGGAAGTGCAGCTCGTCCGGTGTGGGCTGGAAGGGCAGCTGGTGCAGCTTCTCCTGAGATGAACAGGAGGACTGTGAGAGGAGGAGCACAGAGGGAGCACAGATTACAACCAGCACTGGAGCTACTGCGGGGTGAGGCTGGGGCTAGGCTAGGATAAGGACTAGGTCTAGTGTGGGCCAGGTTTGTCTTCACAGTCAGAAGAAGACATCAAAAGCAGGTTAAATCCAACACTAGAAGCTACTTTGGGTTAAGGTGGAGCTAGACTGGGGTTAACATGTCTCAGTACCCTGAACTTTCACCTGTCACATCCATCCATCCTTTTCAACCAAATCTATGTCATTTGACCTGCTAATTTATTTGTGCTAACAGGATGAATCTAGAGAGGCCTGGTCCTCTGTTAGTCCAGTAAGCTAGTGGGTCTGTTAGTGGTCTGGAGTCGAGTTAAGAGCTTGCACAGCTAGCTAACTCAGCTCACTGCCCTTTGAAGCACGCTGGGCCTCTTCTACAGAGAAACTGCACACCAGGGTATTAAGAAAGGAGATGAATGAACAGCAGGAGGAAATGGAGAAGAAGGGAGGATTAGACCAAAGGGACTGTTGATATGTCCCGGGGAATGAAGGAAGGAAAAAGGGCAGAAACAGGAGAGGAATCCGAAGTACACTTGAGGGCATCAGAGGGGAGGAAGCAATGAGAGAAAGGTGGAAAAACAAGGGTTTCTATCGTAGCTGAGGGAGCTTCTGTGAGCTTGTTGCTTTGCAGTTAACTCAGAGGAAGCAGGAAGCGTTTAGACCTGGGTTTCTTGGGTGAACAGATTATTATAAAACATACAGTGCAGAATAACATGCAGAAACATAAAGTAGAGTATATTAGAGATATTTACCGAGACAGTGGAGCTGGGAGTGTTGGTGCCATAGCCAGAAGAAGGCAGCGAGGCCAAAGACCAGCGTCTACCATCCGTCCTGAAAACACAGGCAGAGGTGAATGAAAAAGGCAACAAAACTCAACTCAACTTGTTTTACATAAAATAACACATCCAGCAAAAGTCAATCAGGAGGGAAAATGCAAACAGGGATAACTTGGGCTCAAAGGTGCAGGGAAAGCCATGAGGAGGATCCATTGAGACTCTGCAGACATAAAGTGAAGCAGGAATGAAACCCGATAACCACTCTGACCTAACTGCTCTTTATCTACAGCTGGATTTTACACTTTTAAAAACCATTAAGGATTGAAATTATTAAAGGGTAAGGCTGGTGTTATTCTAAACTTTTCTTATGGTCAACAAATCCCATGTTAAGACCCCACAAACAATGTGTTTGTGCATCTCTCAACACTTCCTGACTTCCCTACCCTCTCTGCATGTCTCTCAGCTCTGAGCCAATTAGTTCCTACTGAAGATGTAAATCCTTAAAAATATGCAAATATATAGTTTCTTTTTTATTTTAAATAGAAAGTGTAAGTATTAGTTCATGAGTATACAAAATAGAGGAAATAGTGCATTTGTTGGAGACTATTTTCAGCAGCAGATCAGTCCACATTTGGTTCTCTGATGTTCTTTTAATGGAGCTCTATGGCACAGAGGAATAAGATATATCAGGCTCTGATTCACACACATTTTTGGTTTGACTCTTCACATGGATCTACTGACGATAAGAAATGTAACATCAGCAGCGTTATCCTTTAAGGAACATCTACATCTTAACCAAGGAAGTCTCATAACTCCAGAGTCTCCTGCTGCATACGTTGTTCCTCTTTTAAACCTGATTCATGTACAGAGTGTTCGGCGGCAGCAGCAGAAGAAGAGACCCTGCAGGGTGTTTGTTGATGTCATTCAGAGTGTGTGCGCTCAGCCATGCAGGACGGAGGGCAGGAAGGTGGCGGCAGAAGGAGGAAGGAAAAAAGGGCTAAGGTCAAAAAGTCAGAGGTTACCTGTCAGCCCTGTGTCCGTGACTGTGTGGGAGACAAGACATTGGTTTTTCTTTTTATAGCTGTTAGCGGCTGTCAGTCATACAGACTCAAACATACACACACACACACAAACACACACACACACACACACACACACACACACACACACACACACATAAACACACACACACTCTGCTCTTCTGCTTCTTTAAAAATCTAACAAAGCCCAAAGAGACCTTTTTAAATTGTGGACGTAAGCTTAAAGTTTAAAAATATATTTTTTATATCCTGGTCATATAACATTTAATTGCAGGTGATTCCAGCAGTTTTTAGATACAATAATTTCTAAAAAAAAAACTGAGGATTTATAGCAAATAATAATATTACTGACTACAGAAGAACAGACAGAAGCAAAAAGATTTGTCTGCGTTTGATGAATGATTACAGCTGCTGATAAAACATCACAGTCTACAACCTGAGGTGAGACGCTTCAGTCCAACCAGCCTCAGAGTCTGTAATCTGTCATATCAAACTCCACCACATGGTGCCGCTGTCATCCCTGCGTCTGTGGTGCAGCTGCAGGACTTAGGTCAGCAGCCGGACAGAGAGGGATTTCCATTTCAAATCAACATTAATGCTCTTTTTGGCTGCTGCACTGCTGCATGGCTGCCATCCAGTGTTTAACCCTAACTGTCATGGAAATAGCCCGAGGGTTCAGTACTTCAGAAAAGATGTGTTACCATGGAAACATCATCATCTTAATGAAATTTTAAGAGGTAGACTTGCTGAGAATTTCTTTTTCTTATCCATCTTACATTAACACTTCTTATCTTGGCTTTGGATTTTAAAAATCAAACAAGTGCCTTATGCACGCAAGTATCTGTCACACACACAAAACCACACACCGCACACACGCTCTTTCTCCCTCCTTTGCAGTAATTACTGTCTGTGTCGAGAGCGCAGACAGATAAGAGGTTTATTAATCCTGGTTTGAGTGACAGCCTCACAGTGATCATCTCCCTCCTCATCAGCTCACTCACTGTCACCAGCAGCAGCAGCAGCTCGGCTCTCGACACACCGAGGCCACAGAACTGTTTCTCAGCCTTTCAAAGACGTCACCATTAAAGGGCCAGTGCAGAGGATTTAGCAGCATCTAGTGGTCAGGTGGCAGACTGCGATCAGCTGAATGCCTTTCCCCTCACCCTTCCCTTTCAGGTGTGTGGGAGAACCTTTGGTGGCCTTCAGGTCATGCAAAAAGTATTTGAGTTGTCTGTTTTGGGCTACCATAGAAACATGGCGGTGCAACATGGCGGCCTCTGTGTTGGAGGACGTGCTCCCTATGTAGATATAAAGGGTCAATTCTAAGCTATGATTCTTAGTTTCAGGTGATTATACACTAATAAAAACACAATTATGAACATTGTATTCCATTTAAATCTTACACACAATGTCTGCGCTTCTTGTCCAATTACAGTGTTGATTTTATTTCCCACAAATGACTTTTAATTGTGTTCAACATGTGAAAAAGTGAAAAGAACCTGCTGCTTTAGAAATAAAAACTCCCCCCAGACAGAGATGTTCACGCTGTGAGCTTTGGGGCTGCACATCATTTGGAATTTTTCAATCGTGGTGATAAAATGATATCTGAGATCCAAAACCAAAATCAAAATAATACTTTAGTTTGAGGAATATAAACAGGGCACTAGAATGGAATTTTAGGAAGATTCAGATCATGAGAAAATGGAGAGAAAATATATGTATATTTTTCATCTGACCCTTCCAACCAGATTGACTGACTTTGTTTTCTAGGTGTGCCCCACCTGTTATAAGTGTGTGTATGTGTGTCTCACCTGCGTGCAGGAACAAAGGAGAAGTGTGCAGCTGTGTTGGGGGAGAAGTTGCGAGGGCTGTCCAGTGGGCTGGTACCTGAGTTACAGAAAAGAGAGGAGAAAGAAAAATAGGTAAACACACTAAACAGAAAACCCTGCAGAGTACATATATATATATATATATCCTCTGTGTCCATTTATGTACCTTCACAATAAGATGATGTACTCAGACATGGTCTTGATACTGTATATTACAGCAGCAGCATGGCTTCATGTTAGAGGAGCAAGCTCAACACAGAGAACAAGCTTATGGAAGCTATTGACCATGACATTATACATATTTCATTAATGTCAGACTTATTCTCTGTGGCTTTGTGAAACAAACTGAAAGACAAAGGAGAGAATAACGGCCTCTGTGTGAAAGCAGAGGGAATTTGTAAAATGTTCTGCTTTATCCTCCCTTCATTTCCCTTTCTTCTGCTCCTCCACAAGACACGAGCAGAATGAGAGAACGAGAATGTGAACGGAGGATTTATGGAGGGAAGAGAAGAAGTCTCAAGTGATGAGGATAAATTAAATTGGGAGAGACAAAAATAAGAGAAAGAGGCCATAATAAAGGACAGAGAGAGATGGACACGGACACTCTGTGAGTTTGATGGAGTGTCTCATTAAGTGAACAGGAGTTGGGAGGAGAGTGGAGGAATAAGAGGGCTGGCTAATCTGTCTCCTTCATAGGAGTGGGCTCAGGATAAAGGAGGAGAAGCTGTGTTTACAGTCGCTGCTGCACAACTGAGAAGATGCAGAGAAAAATGAATTAGAGAAGGAGGAAGAACTTCAGCCTTCAAGAGAAAAACGTGAAAGGAAAAACAGATGGACGGAGGGGAAAGAAGGATAGAAGATGAGTGATGATTAAAGATTCATTTGTGGACTGGATAAAGTGATTCCTAACTTCCTGTGCATTTCTGTATATGACAGTTATGAATGATGTGTTACTGGGTCGTGTACTGTAGACAGATTTAAATGAGAGAAGAGATGTGAGGTAGTTTGAAAGTTTCAACAGTCCAGCTTTATAAATTAATAACATGAGATGGTTGTTTCTTCCTGACTATAATAAGACGGTTAGAAGACAAAAATGAATGATGAGTCAAAAGTATTTGTATAAATCAGCAAGAGTAATATGGCCACCATTTAAACTTTTGCTGGCATCTCCTTAACCTTATAGAATTTTATCATTTCAGTAAAAAAGTGGAGATTGAAGTATTGATTAGGAATGATTATTTTATTTATGTATAATGTAAACAGCAGAGGACCAAGAATAGAGCATGGTGGCATCCCATTTCTGATTCTAAGATGGCTTGACTGAGCAACAATTGATTTTGGCAGGACACATGAGTCTATCTAAAGACCATAAAAACTCTACTCTCTCAGGCTAACATGAACTCACTGTCACCGTGAATATTTAAGTGAAATTAAAAAAAGCAATTCAGTCTGATAATCAGACAACACAACCGTGGAATTTTCAATCAGGTCCAACAGAGAAAAAACATTTCGATGCAACATAAGATCTGCAGCACAAACTGACTGATCTACTGTCAAAGTGACTCTAAGAGAACAGATGATCCTCTTCTGAATAAACCTGAGATTATTTAATAAGAATACTGACACATCCATATGCACCCAGCATAATGGAAACAAATATTCAAGGCCAGCATATCTAAAGGGAGACACAGTGCTCTGAGTGTCGGTGTGTAACTAATAATTCAGTGGAGTGAAGGGGTGAACATGCACCGCACACACATAAACAGATGGATAGGGGAAGAAAGGCTGGCGGCCTCAGAAACAGGAGGAGAGATTAAGTAGTTGGACATTTCCACATCAATTATGCATTTTCCTCAGCAGCATGTCTGGACAGAGCAGAGACTCAAATATTAAAACCAGAATTTGCTCTCTGTCAGATGGGAGACTCTGTCTTTGTCTGTGGCCGCAGCAGCAGAACATGTATGCACATACTCGAGTGAACATGTGTGTTATTAGTCAAACAGATGCTTGTTAGTGTCTGTCGCACTGGTGTGAAATGATCTTGTACATGTTCCCATGTGGATGTTGCTGAAGTAGGGTCTCCATGTCCAGGACACAGAGGTCTCAGTGGGGCTGTTACCACACTCACTCACTGCACTGTCACGCTTCATGGCTACAAATGTGTGTGTGTGGACCATTAGTCAATTTAAGGCTTGTTCACAGACAGAAGAATCCATCACTCTGTAAAGTGATGTGTAAAGTGGTGTGTTTGTGTGTGTCAGGGCTTCTCAGATATATATATATGGTAATGTGTCTTTGCTCTTAGCGTAAAGTTAGCAAAGCGTCGTGGATATAAAATACATCGACAAATGTTTTTTAGCAAAAATACCAAACATCCTCTGGTTGTAGCTTCTCCGATGTGGAAATTTGCTGCTTGAAACTTTTGATGGTCATTTCCCTTTTCTTCCAGTTTTATAGATTTACTGACTGAATGATAGAAACATTAATCATGATGAAAATAAGCTTTAGATGCAGTTGGTTTTAAGAATCTCAGAGTTTTAGAGTAGACTGCAAAACTTGTCCCAGATGTGCTTGGTGTTGGAGCCAGAGAACTAACAACGATAAATCCAGCCTCGCAACAGCTCAGTATGTCACATGACTCACTTCATGTGTTCAGATAAGGATGGTGGTTTTGTTTTGTTTTTGTGTTTTTAGTGGCTCTTGATGAACAACATTTCCCATAAGCCACAGATGTTTGCGGGGTAAACGTCATGGCTCAACAGAAGAGGAGAGTGTTCAAGGGTCACGTTTATCTCAGTCATTTATTTTTTCTTTTATTATTATCATAATTATTATTATTATTATTATTATTATTAAACATTGTTTTGCTATTTCAGCTGCATTGCAAGAGAGACAGGAAAGTTGGGGAGAGAGAGAGGGGATGACATGCAGTGAAGACTAATGGGTTGGACTTGAACCTGTGCCGCTGCGGTAAGGACTGAGCCTAAATGCTACGCGCTTTACCAGGTGAGTCTGGTGAGTCAAGTTTTAGCTCTAGCTCAGTCATGTCTGTAATAACAGCAGGACAGAGAGGGCTGGGCACTGGTAAAGTGTTTAAACAGAAGAGATTACAAATAAATACTGGAAAGTCCTCCCTCCAACTGGAACGACGTTAGAATCATCATTACACCTTGTCTGAGATCAGTTGTGTCCTTTTGTGCAGCTGCACATCTACACATCTTGTAAGTCTCCATTAAGCTGAAACAGCAGCTGGGTGGAGACGGGTCAGAGAGGGAGGGAACCACATTTCTTCTGGTCCCTTTGACCCACATGGTGTCACCAATCACAGCTGTCACACAGAACCGGCACGCCAAACGCCATCTACTCTCCAAAGTCACAGAGGTCACTCCTTCCACGACTGAACTGATGCTCAAAGCACCAGTGTGTCTCATTTCTAGCACACAACCCCATCGTGTGATGTCCACAGAGTGACTTTCAACACGTTGATATACTCCGATTGGCTACAGAAAAAAAAGGTAATCATTCTCAAAATACATTTGAATAATACTTTCCACTTCTTGTCAAGAGAGAAAAACACTATGTGGATTGTATTTTCAGACTGAATAATGAATCCAAGTGAAATGTAAATTACAGCTGAGTGCACCTGACAGGCGGTCTCATCACAACAGGTAAAGAAGCTGCTTCACTGTCACATTTGAGAGGGTTTTGTGCAGCAAACGGCAGCGACACTGACCTACTTTAGCAAGAAATATACCGGCATATGAGATACATGCAAATGTAATATCTGCTTTGTGCCTCTTCAGTCTCGCTCCCTTCGCTGCCTCTCCAGGGAGGCTGTGGTTGGGATAACAAAATACAGCTATAATTGGGGAGGGGGCGGAAAGAAAGAAAGAAAGAAAAAAAAAAACCCTCTATTTTCTCAGGAGGGTGCAACAAGAATCTGAACAAGAGAAAAAGCTTGATTCTTTCTTTCTGTCCTTCATTACAATTACAAAGACGAGCGGCGGGTTGTTTGACAGAACTCATCAGGAGTCAGAGCACAAAGAGCTGCCAATCATCAGCTGACCTTTACCGAATAACAGCCCGCCGTCAGCCAGGAGGAGAGAGGAGGGATCAGGGTGGGTGGAGAGGAAGAGGGAGAGGAGATGGAGAGACTGACGAAAAGTTAAAGGGTCAGAAGAGAGGGGAAAAGTAGAGGTTACAACGTCATCAGGAATGAGTGGGAGAAAAAGGGAGACAGCACGGGCGGTGATGAGAGAGGAAACGAGGAATTTATGCAAACTTTCGACATTTAATAAAAGTCATTTTTGGAGAGGACTGGTCCTCATCAGCCCCCCAGGATATTAGAGTTTGACGAATCTCCATTTGATTAGCGCTAAGTGGCTGGATGATTGAAACCATGATGAAATTCATGATTAGGGCCAGAGCGAGAGACTGAGAGAAAGAGAAGAAGAAGAAAAAAAGAAAAAGCAATCATCAATGTATAAAGATGGTCTCTACGAATGAAGGGAAAGATTTAATGGCCCCCAGTGGTGCATATTAATCAGTAAAGTACCAGCCAACAGTGAGATATCACAGCTTCAGTTAAAGAGATAAAGGTTTCTGTTGGAGTCCAAGTTTCAACATAAAGCTGAAGCTCCATTTAAGCTTTTATTCTAACATTAAAACCTAAACAGAACAAAACCCAGAAGCTGTGTTTTTACTGAGCTGGAGGTTTTGAAGCAGCAGGAGAGAAAATGAAAAACAGCAACATTAATTAGTGATATTTAATTAGCAGTATTTGTTTCCCTGGCAGGGTCTGGGAAACAGAAAAAAAAGACAGGATTGCAAGGCCGAATGCTGAAGACTGGTGGCGGGCGGTGTTACCATGGCAACACAGCAGCTACAGCAGTCTGCTGGATGAGGATGGAGATGACAGGAAAGAGAAAAAGGAAAAGATGGAGGGAGTGAAGGAGCATTAAGGATTGTGGACCACACTGTGACACCAGGACCCACAGACATGCTCTCTGTCCCGGTGTCTGTTTTGTCAGATTCTTTTTCCATTTCTGAGGCTGCAACTAATGACTGCTGTCGTAACTCATTATTGATTTCATATTTAATCTACAAAAAGTCAAAGAATGAGGATAAAACTTCACATGTTCCTGAAGTTCCTGACGTTTTGAAACAGCTTATTTAGTCACGTCAACAGCCAGGAGTCTCACTGGAGTTTATGTATTTATGCCAAAATCTAACTTCAGAAATGAATGAGACGATGTACGACGACAAATTCTACGTTTCCAAACATGCTTTAATTCTCTCACTCCCTGCAAAACTACTACTGCCATTCATCTGCCTGTCAAAGTCTCTTATTGGCTTCAAACATCCAGAAGTGACGACTGTTGTCCAACAAAGTTTACAGATAACTTTGACAAATATCTGACTTTGCACTGACACACTCCTGACCGAGTCCTTTTTTATGGCACCAGCTCCTCATCCTCTGTGCTGCTAGCTCATGTTGAATTGTTTTTCAAATACATCACACATCTATGAGACCCTAGGATAAAGATGTGATGTAATTTGGCATTTCAGCACAACCATTAACATTATGTGAAGTTTAGAAACATAAAGGACATAAAACATAACGATCTCTACGGTTCAGATCGGGGACATCTTCAAGATCCATCACAATATAAAAAGTCATGGTTTTCCTACTACTGTTGACGCTTTGTTTGGACTTTGTTTGACTATTCATGTTTGGAAGTTTCCCTAGTGTCTCTTGCTCCTGTTCTCAGAGCATTTAGATTTTCTGTTGTACTTCAGTTTGCGTTTGTTAAGTTTCCCTGTGTCTCTTGCTCCAGTGTTACCAGCGTTTAGATTTTCTGTTTTACCTGTTTTGAGTATCCTCGGTGTCTCCTTGTGTTTCCACTTTTCAACCTCTGTTTCCCGGGCCTGTTTTTGCATCAAGTAAGACTCTTGAGTGTTTTCTTTGTGTAATAAATCATCTTTTTTCCACCTACTCCCTTGGATTGTCTGTATTTGGGTCCTTAACTCTACAAAACCTGACAAAAATTGCTGATGTGTAGCTGCAGTAGGAACTCTTCACTCTCTACTTCAGGAGAGCGGGACAGAACCAGACATGATCAAAACATGTTGCTTGAATTTCCATTACACAAGAGGTTACAACCAAGAATGAGAGCCGATTTTACTATGAAGGAACTGGACTTTTGAGATTTTAATTGACTGATATTCTAAATGACAGTGAGAAACACTACAGCCTCATGTAAACGGTGGAGGAACAGCATTGTTTTGGTGGGACTGAAAGGCTGAAATATCAGTGTGTTTTGTAAATGTGTTTGAGTGTGTGTAGGTGCAGTGACTGACAGGTTGGCGACTTCTATTATTTCCTGAGCAGGAAATGAGACGTGTGTGACTGTCTGTCAGCTGAGCACAAACACACACTGTTAATGACGGTCGGTCTCTCTCTCTCTCTTTCTCTCTCTCTCCAGTCAGATATAATTGTTGACATTTTACCATTTTTCCATCTTCCATATCCATCCCTTTGTCTTTCTCTCCTCCCATTCAGAGACTGTCCAATCCATTTTTATTCCGTCCTTCCAATCTATATTTCGACTCTCTCGCTCGCCTCCTCCCCTTCAGTCACCATCAATCAATATCACAGTTATTCATCTCTTTTCCATCTCTCTCTTCATATTTGAAGGGTGGTGAGTGGATGCTGGTGGTAGATTTGCAGGTTTTGTGTGTTTGTCTTACATGCTGTCAAGTGTGTTCAACAAAAATCCTGTCAGTGTGCATTTCATCTGCCACACACACACACACACACACAAACCAAATATGTCTAGACACACTTTTTCAAAGTGTGTGTGTGTGTGTGTGTGTGTGTGTGTGTGTGTGTGTGTGTGTCTGTGTCTGTGTGTCTGTGGGGCACTTGTGAGACAACCCATGACTGCTATATTTTAGGAGTCCATTGTTTATTTACAAAGGCTGAAATCAGCATTTTTTTAAATCAATCTGTTGATTTGTTTTTGAATAATCTGTCTTCTTGTCACTTTTATATTCCTATATACCTTCATCAGAAGTATTTTAAACAGATCTTACAACCATGACCTTAAATAGACAATGCTCCATCCATCTTGTTTGCCCAGGTGTGTGACAATTTATCTCTCGTGGGAGTGTCTTTCAATGCTGTCAATGACTGTCAAAATACTTCTGACAAAGGTCCACACAGACAGTAACGTTAGGATGATCAATAAATCGTGATGCTGAGCAAGAGCAATGTTTGAATAATCTGTGGCATGTAAAAAAGGAATGTGAAAAAATCCTGTCACAATTTCACACAGCTGGGGGTGACACCTTCAAATAGCTTCTTTTGTCAGACAAACACTTTTAAACAGGAGAGAAGTAACAAACCCTCACACTTAAGCAGCTGCAACCAGAGATGATTTCTGTCTTAATAATTGAAACTAATGTTTAACTGATTATGCGAAATTGCTGACAAAGTAATTTCCTGTTGATCAAGCAGAGATCAAGAGACTTCTGAGTCATTCGGCCGACTGGGAAACAGAAATCACAGCCTGACCAGTACTGTGATGTTGGGTCAGATGATGATGTTGATATATCTCCAGAAAATGAAAATAATCTTCTCAGACACATCTCTGATAAGACAAAAATAAGCTGGGCTATGCCAATGTATTGATCAGGCTTCAACAATGATGCAAGTATGAGTTTTTCCTGAACTAGGATCTATATTCTACACATATGCCCCATCAATCACCTCAATCAAAATGATGTTCTTTTATTACCTCAGACATTTACAGGAAACAGTGAACAAGGTCTCCAGGCACCAGATACAAGACAATCTCAATTAGCACAAACATATCCAACAACTTTATGTGTTTTCTTTTGTTCCTCAGCAGCAGCAGCCTGCAGTACGTCGCCCTAAGCATTAATCCATGCAATCAAATCTCTCTGTGCTGTGCTCAGTGTGCAGTCTGAAGTGATAATTGAGCTTTGTCTGTGTGTGTGATAGTAAACAACACGATGCCATGTAACACACCTCACCTGCTGTCACTACACAGCTTACAGCCGATGAGGACAAGTGAACATTGTAGCAAATAAAGGTGGTTTTACAACATCTTCATCTAATATTGATTATTATTTTTGTTGTCATTTATTTATCGATTATTGCTGTGCTATCTTAAAGATTGTGATGCAACACTCGACACGTACTGGCCAGATTGCCATTTCTCTCTGCACCCTTCTGGCCAAACGCCTAATTATGCAGAATTGGAAGTCAGAAACAAGCCTTGAGTTTCATATATGGGTCAAAAAGTTGCTTCACCTGGAAAGACTTCGATACGTACTGGCCAACAAGGAAAATGTTTTTCATAAGATTTAGAAACCCCTTCTTGACAAATGGGAGGCGACCTCTAAGACCTCCTTCCCATGTATCTGAGATAGTGTGAGCTATTGTTGTTTTTTGTATAATATACCAGAGAAGAAGTGATTACATATACATAAAAAGTGTACATGGACCTAATATGATTCCCTCCGCTTCACCAAGTTGATGAATTCTAAAGCATCGCTGCTGTTGCTTTAGAATTCATCAACTTGGTGAAGCGGAGGTTCCTGCCTCGTTTTTCCTTTTTTTGTGTGTCTTTGTCTAAATATTTTCTGTATTTTGTAAATGTAATAAATACAATAAAACAATGCGAAAACTAGAGTTACCTCCTCAGTGTTGTCTGCCTCCTCCACTCAGACTAGTTTCAGGTTGCATCCCTGTTTCTCCAGAGTCATATAAAATATGAACCATTTGTGTGAAATTTTTGTCATGCTGTGTGACATCTTGAGTAATGGCTAAAAAGTGTCCTGTGAGGTCACTGTGACCTTGACCTTTGACTACCAAAGTCTAATCAGTTTGAATGCAGGTGAATGTTTGGGCAAAATTTGAGGAAATTCTGTCAAGGCGTTACTGACATATTGTGGTCACAAGGCCAAAATTGTGTTTCGTGAGTTCACCACATACTTGACCTTTGACCTTTTCCCAAAAATGACGGATAGACAACCAGGAAACAATATAGCTCCGGCTCTGACTTTCACTGGCGGGGAGGAATAAAAACACATCCTATAGTTTCAAGAGGGAGGGAGCACATCTGTGTGTGTGTGTGTGTGTGTGTGTGTGTTACCTGTGTGTCCATGCAGAGGTGAGTGTGGTCGTGGCAGAGTGGGGGAGGTGCTGGACGTCACAATCAGGCTCTTCCTGTTGCTCGTCCGACAG